TGTCTACATACCACATTCCATCCAACTGATTTATTTGCAGTTCCCCCAAATATACATGCTCTCTCATGCACCTGTTTGCATTTGCTATTAAATTCATCTGACACAGTTGGCTTACTCCCACTCATCCATCAGAACTCTGCTCAGACTTTACGCCTCACATGTCTTTCTGTGTGCTCCTCTTAATGATAACAGAGTTAATGCTGTGATGTTGTCTTACTCGTTGACCAAACTTTCAGAAGGTATTCACTATGTCTTCTATCTCAGAATATTGAGGCCTTCCATAATGACTGGGTTACTGTAGAACTAAATATTATTTTGTCAAATGAAATAGCAACAAAATTACACATTTATTTTAAAGTTGAGCAAATTAATGCTCAGAGAGTTTATTTTTTAATTTTTATTATTTTTTTAAGATTTTATTTATTTATTTGAGAGGGAAAGAGAGCATAAGCAGTGGGGAGGGGCAATGGGAGAGGAAGAAGCAGACTCCTCTCTGAGCAGGGAACCCTTTGATCCCAGGACCCCAGACCATGACCTGGGCTGGAGGCAGACACTTAACCAACTGAGCCAGCCAGGTGCCCCAGGCTCAGAGACTTTAAGGACTTGTCCAATGTCATACTGCTAGTAACTGACAAAGGTGTAACTCCTCAATAATCTTTGATTTACATTATTAGAATGTAACAAAAAGCTTAAAGTACAGAAGAAACTCAATATATTTTTGTTGAATGAATGAATGTAAAAGGAAAAGGAAAAAAATCTTATTTTCTATAACAAAAATGTTCAAAAGAAGTGAATTTCAAAATAGTGCAGAGGAATGAAGCTAAAATATATCACTTTTGTATTAAAAATGTTCTTAATAAGTGGTAATATTTGAAACAAATATTTTCAGCTTGGTCTCCTGATTCTGTAGGGGCCCAAATTATATCTGTAATTTTCATTCTCTAAATATGATGTAGTTGGTCATATTGAATATTATCATATTAAAATTAAAGGTAGTAATACATTTCATGTGAAAAAGCAAGTAAACATCACCCAGATTTATTTAGTAATATTTTGAATGCTAAAATAGTTTCTAAATAAGAGTGTTTTTCTAAATTAGTAAAACAATACATATTACCATACATGGGAGGCAGATTTCAAAGACTGCACTAGAGATCTCCATCTTCTGGTGTTAAACCCTATATAATCCCCTTCCCCTTGAGTGTAGGTAGGATCTGTGTTTTCTTAATAAGACAACAGAATATGGAAAAGGTGATGGATGTCACTCTCATGATTGCACTATGTTATATAAGACTTTCTTTTAGCTGACTAGAGTGAGTTGTCTTTGCTGTTGGCTTTGAAGAAAAAGAGCACCACACTGTGAGAGGGTCACCTACCAGGACACCATGGTGGCCTCTGGGAGCTGAGAGCAACCCTCCGATCCCCCTTCCTCCCCGGCCCCCCATTGATAACACCAAGAAAACAGGGAACTGAGCTCTACACAGGGAATTGAATATGAGCTGGGATAGGTCAGAAGGGATGGTAGCCCAGCCTACACCTTGATTTTTTTCATCTTTGTCAAAGGACCCAGTTAAGGTATGTCTGAGCTCCTGACCCATGATAACTATGAGATAATAAATGTGCTCTTTTAAGTTGCTAAGTTTGTGGTAATTTGTTATGTATGAGTTTAAAACTAATTGACTACAGGTTACTCCTCAATATATTTAGTATAACATTACCTTCAAATTTCAAGAAAAAACAAACATGTTAATGAAAAGCAAAGTTTCAAAGCATTAAGGGAAAAGAAAAAGTAATGATATCTTAATTAAATAATTCAGGTTTCAAAACACGACAGACAAGCTGTTATGAGAAAAATCCATGATAAATCAATTGAGAATGAATAGTAATGTCATGCATCCATTTTAATGATGTAGAAAAGAAAGGGAAGCCCAACCATATTCTTCTCCTAGGTTTAAATCAATATTTATCCAGTACTTTTTGTTGTAAAGTATTCTGTGGCTATTACTATTTTGCACACTATGGCAGTTCAATCTCTGTTCTATTTAGGAAAACAAAACTATGTCACAAATACGTAAAAATTATACAAAATAAGTAATAATTTTCAGTAAAAATAATGCAAATTCCAAGAAGTTCTAAGATTATTTATCAGTAAATATCAGCAATTTACTTCTCTGAAATAATTGTGTCTCATAAGCTGGTCTTTCCCAAACTCATTTCCTTCCTTCACAGGGTCTAAAACATGTGATTTGGTCACTATCAAAAATAACTTCTAAGTATTTTCACCTTACATTTTAAGAAGATAGAAGATAAAACTTAAAAAAAAATAAATAAATGTTTAAAGAACCAAACATTTAGTAGTTTTAATTCCTGGTCTCCAAAACTAATGTGGGGAAGAAATACAAAGGACCTATGTGTATCTTAGATTGTTACGTGCGGTTTAAAAATTCAGCAAATGAAGGAAACTTAATTTGAAAATTTGATAGCTAGCATCTGCCAGGGTTTTTTACAACATGGACAGAAGACCCAGACATTGTTATTAGGCTTTGGACTTTGAGTAATCTATTAAAAAAAAAAAATGTGGAGAATGTAAATGCTTAAAATTTGCTATTTTAAAATACATGAAACTCAGGTATTGACTTTTATGGCTGCTTACTACCTCTCATTTGTAATTTAAAATATTAAAATTAAGAATCTAAGAAATAAATGATACTCTAAAAAATTCCCTTCCAACTGTGTGAAAAATACCATAGTTTTATGTTACAGTAACATGCCCTATTTTGTTAAGTCTTAGCATAGACTTTCCTATTTTCAAATTCTTTAATGTTCTGAGTTTTAATGGCATTATCATTGTGTATTTGTGATAGGATGACTAGCCTTAGGTAGAAATTGTTACTCATTTCTTGCTTCATAATGTTCTGGGTACAATATGTCCCAACAATTTTTTCTCTATTTTCCTTCCTGCAGCTGATCTGATATTAAAGTGCTGGCTTTAATAAGCTTCCACTTTAGTCTAAAAGAGATAATTTAAGAAATCAGAAAGTAGAGGCTGCCAAAGCTCACTGTTGCCTAAAATCAGATTGCTATTTTACTTCTTCCATTGTGAGAAAACCCAGACTTCCAGAACCTGCCCCACCTCTTCCTCAAAGTAAATCGCTCTGTGATCCAGTAACTTCACTAAGGAAGTGCTCTGTGTTAAAGGCTATCATCCAATTTCACTTCTTGTTTTATTGTTTGTTTCTTTGTTTAAATTTTATTTCTTTTACATCTGGATTGTGCAGCTTTCATGTGGTATTAAAACTATGTGTCCAAAAATGTGTCCCAGATGAACATCCTGTTTGCCTTTTGATTTAAATTTCTGTTTAGTAAACCTTTGTGGTTTGGATATAGTGAGGAGTATTTTCAGCAGAACTCCCTAACCACTTCCTCAAAAATAATAACTCCCTATCCATCTCTCCCTTTCTCACCTCTCTTTTGCTAAATTAATACTGTCTATCAGACACAGTCTTAAGGATATTTGAGAACATTACCTCATTTCTCACAATGATACCATCTATGTCTTTAGCATGCTGTTCTAGAAGTTATTTCCACAAAAAGGCTTTTTTTGCATGCCATGCTATTAGCAAATATGAAAATGTTTCCATCAGGCCCTGGTAGAAAAATAACCAATTTTTGAATTATGAGATACTTGCTTTGGAGAAACATAAATAACTCCTTTTTCAAAAATAGTTTAGCAACTGTATTTTTTTGGTCAAAACCAGAAAAAAAAATATGGTTAAAGTATTTTTAAGGTCTTTCCTTCAAATTGGCCATAGAAATTCTATCACTGATGAATAGATTTACTTGACATATTACATAAAATTATTTTTTAAAATAACTATTGTTTAAGCCAATTTTTTTTGAAGCAAAGAAATTTGGTTGTTCTTGGCATTTCTTAATTTGCTTACTTGGGGGTATGTTCTCCCCAAATCCACACATATAATTTCCATTGCCTCTAAAAGGGGTTATGAACACACATCTAAAGGAGAATTGACCACTTGGTTTTTGATGTTCTAAAGCCAACTAAAGCATGAACCTCTTGCTTCCTTTCTGATCCCAGCCCTTTTCAATGAGAACAATGCTTATGCAAGATTTCCTAGGGGGATTTTGTGGCTTGAGGTTTTAATAATCTAGGCTAAAATTCAAATAGGAACCACAGCTGCTTGGATAAGACTCTTAGACCTCTTTATTTGAACTGCAGTGAACTTACCAGAATTTTAAAATATTCTGAGCAATATTTGATATGTAAGAGTGACCTGTGCTAGCTTTATTTTAGATATAAGAATATCTATGTACTTGCAAACTGTATGGACATAAAATAAAATGACATGTATTTTCTTTAACCATTTGCAAGTACACTTAAAAACAGATTTGACTTCTTTAAAAAGTAATGAACATTGTTCTGATGTACTGTTCTGATTCAATAAGGGAAACTTACCAAGAATACTTTATATTTTGTATCTTTTTGTTGGAATTCTCACTTTGTTCATGTATTGCTCTTTTGACCTCTGCATCTTTGTTATCTTTATGGTTAGTTTGAACTCTCTATCAGGTTAATCACTATCTCCATTTCATTAGGACCTATTTCTGGAGATTTATCTCATTCTTTGTTTGGAATATAGTCCTCTGTTTCTTCATTTGCCTTGACCCCCTGATTGGTTTTCTCCACATTAGACAAAATAGCCATCTCTCCCAGTTTTGACAGTGGACTCACATAGGAGATGCATCTTATTAGTCAGCCAGGCCTGAGCTCCTAGATGTCTCTCTAACTTGTGAAGATTGTTCAAGTTCCTTCTTTGTTCTTAGTGCCTTCTGGTAGTTGCAGGAATACCAATACCTGGCAGTATCCTATTGAAGTCAGCGACTAGATGCAGGCTGATTAGAAACTGGACCCTGAGTCAGCAACTGGGAAAGTATGTAGTTAAACCCCTTCCAGGAGGAAACCAGGAGATGGGTGATTTTACCTGTTTCCTCCAAGTAGGCTCTGGGTGTATAGCTGTTGAAGGATTTGCTGCTGTGCTCATTAAGAACTCTTTCTTTGTGAACTATGAAGAAAAAAAGAGATAAACCGAAAAACAGACTCTAAACTACGGAGAACAAACTAATGGTTACCAGAGGGGAGACAGAGGGATGGAACGGATGAAATAGATGAAGGGAATTAACAATATACTTTTCACAATGAGCATTGACTAATGTATAGAATTGTTGAATCACTATATTGTACACCTGAAATTGCTATAACATTCTATGTTAATTATCCTGGATTTACACTTTTAAAAGAAATTTAAAAAGTTAAAAAATTAAACTACTTCTTTGTTTCCTATAGGATTTGGGAATGTAAGCACCTTTGGCTATTAAAGCCAGGTAATCTGGGGACCTGTTCCTCATGTGGCTACTGCAAACCTGGGGGCCAGATCTGTGTACCAGCTCTTTTCAGGGAGGTACTAGGATTGGAAGGAGAAGGCAGAGTGTTGTCCTGGGCTTCCCTGATCTCTGAGGCAAATCCAGCCAGCCCCTAGTGCCTGCTAAATTAGCTGCTGCTGCTTCTGCTGCTGCTTCTTCTTCTTCTTCTTCTTCTTCTTCTTCTTCTTCTTCTTTTCTTCTTCTTCCATTGAAGTATAGTTGGCATACAATATCCTATTAGTTTCAGGTGTACCTCAGAGTGAACCAATATTTTTATACATTATAAAACGATCTTCATGATAAGTATAGTTAGCACCTGTCACCATACAAAGTTATTACAATATTACTGACTGTATTCCTTCTGTCATACATTACATCCCCATAACTTATAGGTAAAGGAGATTAAAGGGTACAAACTTCCAGTCATACAAAAGAATCACTTCTTTGTTTACTATAGTCTTATGGGTTAAGTGGTCACAAGCTGCACTGGCTTTCAGAGCTAGGTGTTTAGGGAACCCTTCCCTTCAGTGGGAGTCTTAAAAGTTGGGGCACTAGATGTAGGGGTCCAAACTTATTCACCCTCAGAGAGAAGCTGGGAGGTGGGGATCCCCTGCCGTTTGTATGGCTCTTTGCTACCGATGGGGTTTATGATGAGAGTGTGTTTAGCTTCTTCTACCTGTTTCAATGGGGGTGCCTTCTCATTTGTCTGATGTATAGGAGTCAGTCAGCTGGTTTCAGAACCTCGCTCAGAGAGCATTGCTCCACATGTACCTGTCCATCCAGTGCATCTGTGGGAGGAGGGGAACTCAGGAAGCTTTTGTATCAGCATTTTTATTTCATCCATCATTGTACTTTCCTTTGCTTTTGGTCTGCCCAGGTGGGAAACAAGTTTCAGTCTCCTGAAAATACTTTAAAAAATAGATTTTTGGGACCACCGAAGTAGAATCTGATTTTTTCTGGAATAATAAGCTGTCTTCATGATATTACCCTTCAGCGATACTTTTTAAAAAATAATTTTTGTATACTTCTAAAATAGAATTGTGTTTAAAAAGTAAGTACTGGGGTGCCTGGGTGGCTCAATTGGTTAAGCAGCTGCCTTCGGCTCAGGTCATGATCCCAGGGTCCTAGGATCAAGTCCCACATCGGGCTCCCTGCCCAGGGGAGAGTCTGCTTTTCTCTCAACCTCTGCCTGCCTCTCTGCCTACATGAGGCCCTAATAGTCATATAAAAGGCAGAAATTTCAGACTCTATCACAGGGTTATATTGTTATTTAAATGTTTATTTAACACTTACATTAAATGATCACATACTAAAGGATTTGCAAGGACAGAATATAATGGAGCAGAACATCTATAAATGATCCAGCACTAACTTTAGGCCTAGTACCTATTCCAGGGAAAGGGAACTTTTCAAGTTAGACCTCAGATAGCTTTGAGACTTGCCCAGGAAGGGTACCTGACTGGAAGAGCTCTGCTCTTGCTGGGTGTCAGCGGTGGGCCCTTGCGTGCAATCAATCACACTTGGTGGCTCTCACCTAATCCTGTTGTTTCCAAAGTTCTCTAGAATCCTGTGAATTTACAGGGCTATCTAATGGACTTCCAGAAGGAGAGAGGTGCTTCCTGTTGAGAACAAGTGGACTCTGACTACTTTCTTCAACTTCTGCGAGAGCTAGTCCATATTCATCTGTTTTATATTAACATTCTAGTTAAGATTTAGTTTAAACCCATTTGATAAAGGGGTGGGGGGGAGAAATTAATCCCCTGTATTGTATAGGAAATAAAGAGTCTCAGTATATTAAACTTTTCCTGTGACCTCTAACTCACTGAATGTGTGGTCAAAGGATTGCCTATGCGGCACATCCCAAGGCCAAGTCCATGATGCTGAGATAAGCATCTTCCAACATTTCAGAATTGGGTGTTGACACTAAACTGATGGCAAGTAGATACTAAAGGAAAATTCAGTTGATAACAGGTACAAATGATAAATGGCTTCCCAAAAAGAAATTAACTAAAATATCAGAAGATTTAGGATCCTGGTCTACAGATAAAATCAAAGCATACCTTTTGTAAATTTGGTCATATTTAGGCTCTCTGCTTCCTTCTCTCTGCTGGTTTACTAGGCTTACTCACCATTCAAAGCCTAGGTAGAACATTTACTGAGAATTCAGTATAACACTTTTTATAAGAGAACATGAAATCAGTTGTTTCATATTCTGGGCAGAATTCCTAGAGATGAGCAGAAGTCTCTATTTCCCCTGAAATGTGCTTCTTAGAATGACAGGAATTGATGACATTATTCTCACCATTCTCCAGTTTGTGAATCCAGAAACAAATGAAGAACAGCACTTTCTAGAAACTGAACGTCTCTGAGGGATAGTTTTGAGAACTGTAAAAACTCTCAGCAGGAACATTCCATCCAAACTCCTCCACTAAGAGACTTGTGCAAACTTTAACAAGGCTTCTAGCAGCCTAGAGCCCAGCTCCTAGGAAGACTCAGCCTCCTTAAGTTCCTGTCTAGCTCCTGAGAAAGGTATGAGGAACACTCTGTGAGGAAACTGAAGCTTAGCATTGAGGGGACATGGGTTCTCAGGAGCTTGCTAGCAGAGCTGGGGAGTAGTTCAGCAAGTAGTGGGGGCACCATATGTGATAAGATTCCAAGGAATGTGCGACTTGATTCAGAGCCTAGACGCATAGAATCGAACAACAAAAGAAAGGAGGCTGAGTGGAAGATGAGTTAATAATGAAAAATAAGTCATTCCTCCATTTCTATAAGGACAAATTACTTTGAGAATTGTTCAGACAGTTCAGCTCTATTTTGCCCATTTGATGAGAGTTCAAAGCCCCAGAGGGAGAGGAGACCTCACTTTCTAAGTAGCTCTGAAAGCATTAATCCTGGAAATCCTCTGTGGGGTAAGCTAGAAGAATCAAGTTACAGAATCCACCATTCAGTCAACATAAGGAATGGCATCATTGCATGAAAATCTCTGAAAAACAATTGTGGATAAAACTTAACAAAATTATAATAAAGGATAGGATGTCAAGCATATTTTAATAAAAAAAAGAAAAGAGAAGAGGATTATTAAATATCTAAACCAGCAATATCTATTGAGAAAAAAGAAAAGAAAATATCTGTCAGATACAGTGTCCAATGTCCAATAGATAAGAACATGTGAACTTTCCCTCAAGTGTTAGGCAAATATAATTGATACTTTTGAAAAGTTTGTTCTAGAAAATCACAACCAATATTGTACTTCTTTTAATAAATTGTTACAGCGTGAATTATGGAAAATGTAATGTTAAACACTGGATACATGAAGTATGAATAATATTTCTTTGATGGATAAATAGTGCCAATGGGATTTTACCAGATTGGTACTGAACATATGTAATTTTACAGTTATTACAATGGTTTAGAAAAGGTGGATGGGATGCAGCCACAAACTTTGTAGCAAAAGCTACAGAGAAGCAAAATTTGTGGCTAAATTTCAGAATAATTTAATAAGACTATATAAATAGGTAAAAATAATATGATGACCAGATACCTAAAGTAAGTAAAAGATCGTATTTCATTTACATATATATAATTAAAATTATATGATTGTATATCCTACCTTAATATATATTATATATAAATATATGAGATAAATTTTTATATAATTTACATATGTGTGTGTGCTTGTGTGTGGTAATTGTAATTGAATGTTGCAAAATGGAAAAGAATTAGTCTTATTTTGCCAAATCTGTGATGTGAGAAGGGACATTACTAAGTACAAATAAACATTTTGAGCCCAAATGGAGAAAACAGTTTTTAGCCAGGACCCCAAAACTTACAAGAATGCTCAAGGCAGAGGGTGGAGTTGGCCAGCACCGTAATTTGGGAAAGTCCAAGATTAAGTCATTAACGACCTCAGTCGTATTTTCCTCAATTTCCTTGCAGCTTTCAATATTTCCTTTCCTGCAACTCTCCTTTTTCTTGTTTATTATGGGACAGTGTTTGTGTGGTTGTCTTTTTCTTTCAAATCATTAGGCCCCATTGTTTTGCTGACTCCCCTTTTTTCCCATTCCTCAAAATTGCCTGTGCCCTGAGGTTCTAGTTTCAGTTCACTTCTTCCACTAGAGCCTTTCTTTTAGGAATTTTATTAAAATTAATAATTATTAAGTTAATTTATATGAATTAAAATTAATAATTTCATTAAATTCATTCAAAGCTCTGGCACTGTCCCCAGCACTGGTGTCACCAATTGGATGGTAGCTGTGTTCTCTCTCTGATATTTCTTCTATTAGTATCATGACCACAACAGCTGCTACCGCTATCCACTATCAACCTGTCTCAGCACCTGTGCAAGTGAGCAGGTGTAATATCTACTTCATAGGATTGGCTTGAAGATTAAATGACTTAATGCATAAGAAGTGGCATACCAGTTTGCTTAGACTAGACCAGGTTTCCAAATAATTTATTCCCTTTCTACATTTATTTCTTTTTTTAACCTCTAACATGAAGATGATTCTTAGATTTTTCACCATTCTAAATTTTTCTTACTTTTTTCTTTCTTTCTCTTCCTTCCTTCCTCTTTCTTTCTTTTTCTTTCTTTTTCTTTCTTTCTTTGTTTCTTTCTTAAGGTCTAAATTGCTGTTGCACATGTATAATTTAAGTTTATTCTTAAAAAAACTGAAACATTCTCATGGGTAGTCATATGATAAAATTATTTCTATTTCTATATGCTAAAAATATTCCACAATAGAAAGGGATATAAAAAACAAACATAAGACTGCATTATCTTTCCACTTACATCAGTACCTTCTCTTGACTTCTCTTTTTCTTTTGGGAGTCCTATCATCTTTTGTGCTGGCAAGGATTGATAGCTCCGATTCCTATTTTTTAAATGACATTAATTTTTCTTGTTATAAAACAATATACACTTCAAGATTTTCAATGATGAATTCTTGTGGCTACCAGCCTATTTGGTTGAGGCATGACATTGGGTGGGTGAACATTGCCTTCAAGTACCACATGCCTGAGGATTCGAACACCTACCTGGATCAGGTGGCCTGAGCAGGCTGGTTTGGCACCAAGGGCTTGGCCATCATATTTGTGTAAGATGAAAATGATACCAAGGTCCTCAATGATATGCAGGATCGCTTTGAGCTGCACAGACATGGTAGAGGACTCACCCATCCATTTTGGAATGTGACACTCTGTTCAGGAGATGACAGCAGGCATGGGGGTGAAGGAGACACTACTGCCACTTACCCCTGGCAACCCCCAACTCCTATCCCATGGCTTCCCCCTTTTGCATCACCATCACTCCTACACCCCCATTTCCTGATTTGTCAGAATTTTTTAAACAGCATCAAAATGAAATGTGCACACAAAGAAAACCCCCAAAACCAATATACATTTCATTATAGAACATAAAGTTTATAAAATATGGCTAATGAAAAAGTCTATAAAAAAAACTCCTGAAATTTCATTTGCCTGAGATATTTTCATGGCTATCCTATAGATGCATCTGGTCTATCTCTATGCTGAATATATTGTTTTATAAATGCCTTAGTTTCACTTAAGACATATAAGAAATACTACCTGCATCATTATTTTTTTTTACCATATCATTGAATAGGCTTCTAAAATGTTTGTGTAATTAATTATAAATCCATATTAACTTTTCCTTTATTACAATGAACTATCTTATAACAAAGTTTATTAGCGTCTTTCTGACCTTTATAAATCTTTCTCTACCATATCCTAGTTTGTTTCATTTGCGATTTTTCTCACAACTATATTTTCTTTGCTATTCCTACTACTATCCTCTAATTCATCCCTTTTACTTATGGTGTCAGACTACTAAAATAGAGTAGTGAAATTGAGCTCATTTATTGAGAAACCAACTCTAGGCCAGGTATTATGTACAGAAAAAAGAAAAAGAAAAGAATCTTTATGTACTGGTAAAAAAGATAAAAATGGAACTTTTAATGCAGTGTGATGTATGCATTAAGAAGGGCTTTCACAAAGCAATCATTATGGGAAAATGAATAGAATTTCCACTCAGAAAAATTATTTTATAAATTATGTATTTTATAAGTCATATAAAATTATAAGAATTGTGGTTTGCTATTGGTATATTTTAACCACCATAATTAAATATTAAATATTATTATTTAAAATTATTAAATGTTAAAGATCCCAATAAATTAAATTTGAGTAATTATTGTTGCTATTAATGAAGCACATCTAGTCATAAAGGGAAGTTTTCTGGAATTTATTTTTAAATAGGAGGAGAATTAAGTCTGCACATAATGGACACAAAGGGGCACAACCTAGACTGAGATGAGGCGGGCCTGGGGGGATGGAAGACTTAGGCAAAACACCAAATATGAGCCAGCTGGCTTCTCTGAAATTCAAACTTAACTGCATGTTCTGTATTTTCATTTGCTATATCTGACAACCTGAGGTCTGGCAAGTCCCTGAAAGGGAAAATTCTGCCCTGAGACCTGCAGGACGAGAATGACCATGGGAAAAGCAAGAGGAGTGCAGGGAACTTCGAGTGAAAAGACCTCACTGCAGAAAGGAGCGTGGCTTCCTCCACAAAGAAGTGGGTGGACTTTGGAGCAGCATGAACGAGATCATGCTGGAGAAAGTGAGAAATTCACTCAGACCACAAGCAAGGGGGCATAACACAGAAGGTGTGGTAGTCCTTTTTGTCAAATTCTTGGGACGTGTTGAAGAAAATAAATTAATATATTTCAAATGGGTAAAATAACCAGAATCATATTGCAGAAAGCGCACTCTGGCAGCCATGCCTAAGACAGATTGGAAGTAATTGATAAAGAGAGCAGTTAGTTCCAATTAGCTCTGGAAGGAAATGATAAGAATCTGGACCAACAAAAACAAAAAGACCAAAATACTATCCATCTCTGAAGGCAGTAGGTTTCATAGTAACCTGTACCATTGTAATTATGGTGCATAGAATTCAAATGATAAAAACATTTAAAAAACCCTATGTTAATAGGTGTATAACATATATAAGTTATATAGATATATGAAGTTGGAATGTGGCATCATTAACATAGAGTGGAGAGTGGAGCTGTAAAGGAGTAGTTTTTGTATGAGATTAAAATTAATTTGTTATCAGTTTAAAATAGGATACTATAATTTAAGATGTTTCATATAATAACCACAATGATAATGATAAAGAAAACAGCTACAGGATATGTACATAAGAAAATGGGAAGGGAATCAATGCACATCACTATAAAAACAAAACACAAAGAGAGGCAGTAGGGGAGAAAAAGAGGGACAAAAAAGCAAGACATAAAGAAAAAATGAACAAAATGTTAGTAGTCCTTTCCTATCATTAATTATTTGAAATGAAAAGTGATTAAACTCCCCTGTCAAAAGACATAGGTTGGTTGAATGGATTGAAAAAAATAGGATCCAACTACCCATAAGAGACACTTTACATCCATGGACACACAGGCTGAAAGTGAAAAGGTGGAAAAAGATATTCTATGCAAATAGTAGCTGAAAGAGCAGCAGTGGCTATGCTAATCTCAGGCAGAATAGACTTTAAATCAAAAGCTATCATAAGAAACAAAGGACATGATGTAATAAAAAGACCAATTCACCAAGAAGATATAACAATCATAAATATTTATGCACCAACCTCACTGCTTCACTGTACACCTAAAAATGGTTATGATGGTACATTTTATGTTATGTGTTTTTTTACCACAATAATAAAAAGAACCAAGTCATTTCCTGTATTATCTCATACCAAATTGTATCTTTCACCTCTCTGCATATCTTATGGCAGTCATCACATCCCCTTTTCTACCATAATGAATTTGGTAATTTGCTAATCTCCTAAATATCTTAGATAGACAAAAGAAGGCAGAAGTATTAACGTAGTATCTGTGATGTACAGAACATTCCTTCAATACTACCATTTACTGATGTTGGGACACATAGTCTAATTTGCTTCTCAAAACAACCCTATCAAGTATTTTCGTTACTTTTTAAGAAAAATAAGAAAACAAAGGTCCAGCAAGATAAGTAACCTGTAGAAAATCTCATAGTTTTTGATTTTTGAAGCCAGGATTACAGCTCATGCTTCTCAAAAATCCATATAAAAACCATATTCCCATATTCTTTCTACTCCACTGTATTTTAGGGGCCAACCCTTATCTGCCTCCAAATTTGGTATTAAGGAGACTTTAATGAGGATAGAAAAGGACATATTATCTCTTCATAGTAATTTCCAAATTGGTGATAAACCTGATGTCCCATTAAACCTGGGGGAAAACATTTTTAGGAAAGTATCTGTAGAGAGGATATTTAACTAGTGTCATTATTAGAAACTTAATTTTTTAAAGGGTTTATTATTTTTTAGACTAAATTCTCATTGCTTTAGATATGCTATTTTATTTCATGTGGGGTATCATGCCTGTCTGAAGATCGGAATGACTGACTGAGGGAGTATGGAAAATAATGTGGTATTTTTCTATAAACTACCCTTTCTCCCTTCCATCCAGTTGGTCTGTGACTCCCATTCCTTCAGCCCTTCCAATGATATTGTAAACATCCAATTTCCTGTATTAAGTCCTTCGCTTTTTGAAATGCCTATAATATTTCCTCTTTCACACAACTGGGTTTGACTGATAAGTAAAAGAAGGCATCATACTTTATCAGTGAAAAGTAAATCACTATGAAACCAAATCACCAACTCTAACCTTTGGTAAACACCAAGCTTTGACCTGTGCTAAATATGCCTTTATAACTTTTAATCTGTTTTCCCTAAGTTTTCTCAGCCTAGGTAGACTTGTTCATTAGATTTATAAGTTCTAGGTACTAGATATCCAAGAGCAAAGAAATTTCTTGAAATACAGAATAATTGGGTACCATCTTCAGAAACTAACAGTATTGAGAAATGGAAGTAGAAGACCCTTGATGCAAACAGGCTAGTAATTTCTCAATCCAAAATTTCCATTTTGTAGTATATGTAAGTAAATTTCATTGATGATAAACATAAATCTAAAGATACTTTTTTGTTTGTACAAAAATTTAAGTCTCATTTTCCTTGGAATATTTTGGATATAATTTTAACTACTGCATATCAAGAGACCCATGATAATGATATAAATTGTCTATAAAGATAAAAAGATTGATGGATGGAGTTTTATATAAACAGGTCAAAACACTAAAACCTCTGGAAAAAAATGAAGAGTGAACTAGATATGATGGAACATCACAAGTTAACATGGCGCCTGCACTGAGTACATATATTTACTTACTATTATTCTTTAAAAAGTAATAAAGAGCCAATACTAACCTCTCCCCACAACTGGAACACTACATCAAGAGAGTAATGTGGAGGTTTTACTGCGGAAAAAAAATATTATACATCTTTGTAAGTTACTAATCTCAATCAATACATATTTATCAATATATATCAATACATATCTATCTATCTATCTTTTGTCAGCATCTCCCCAAATGACCCTTATGTTTTTATACAAGTTTGTGAACAAAAAAATAATCTCTATTAAGTAAATGTGCATGTGATTTTTAGGAGAATCGATATTTATATGTTCCACATATTGAATCAATTTTCCAACTTCAAATTTTTAAAGTGCTTTTGGAGTAGAATACATCCTAAGCATACCCTTTTAGTCCAGGTTCTTGCTGGAGCTCTACTAATGGCATTCACACAGTAAAACAACTCACCTTCCTAAAAATAACCTGTTTTAAGTTTGAAAAAATGACCAGGAGTGGTCAAAATACAACCCGATGAATGATTCAGTTATTATCTAATTCAG